GCTGGGGCTTGGAAGCTCTCCTTTTGCTTTTCTCGTTTAGGGTCCCACCCAAGGAAGACAAAGTCTTACAGAGAATCATGGCATAATGAAATCTGGGTGAGAAAGATTAACCCCCATTTCTATAACAGCAATAAGGTATGTGTTAGTATTTAAAAGAATAGGTAAATTACATGCAGCCATTTGCAAGTTCAAATGAAAAGCTCTTTGCCATATTTGCATACAGGGGTTGCAAGGTAAATAAGCGAAAATGTACACATGAGGTACAAGCCATCATATAATTGAATACATTTTGAGTTTTTTATTTGTCACAAAACATGAAAACAATAGGGGAAATCTATAAAGGAACAGATCACTCATAATCTCACCACCACTTAAAATATTTTCCATGTGTTTTGCCTGTATGTGTGTGTATGCAGAGCTTTTTATTCAAACTTGATGTTTTATTCAAAAACTTTTGCATAAGTACCTTCCTATGTTGCTAAGCTAGTCCTCATGGTATCACTATATGATATTCCTTCTGGCTAATGTGCCATAATTTGTTATTCTCCTATTTTTGATCATGTTGGATGGTTTCTGAGTTGTTGCTCTCATAACTATAACTGATATGTTGTAATTTGGATATTTTCTGAATCAGGGAATGAAAACCTATACTTTAAAAAAAAAAGGTATTTCTTTTAAAGGCAGGCATACCATAAACATTGGGTATTTAACTATGTAGAGATTCCTGCTCTAGCCTGGACTGGACAGCCTATTTGATTTCCAGGCTTTGGGTTCTTAAAAAAGAAACAAAACATTTTCTCCAAACTGGTTGAAATAGAGGCCTTTAAGAAATCTATCTCCACTGTCATCTCTGTTTCTCCCCCTCTCTTCCTCACACGAACTTGAACTTTAAGAGGTGATTTCACAGCAGCCACCCTGTTCTTTCCTATACCCCATGTCTAGACTCAGAGCTGATAAAAATGAATAATGGGTGTGGGCTCAGAGGCACTGCCAGGGCCATTCTTGCCTCAGTTTCGAGAAGACCCTTAATTACTGATAATGAACAGTGATTGAGGGAAGAAGAAATAAAAGAAGCTTAAACTGTGCTGCGAAAGACCCAGTCTAGGATAGTGGTTAAAATCCAGGCTTTGCAGTAAGACCAGAATTTGAAAGCCATCCTCTGCCACTTGCTGGTCATGTAGCTATGAGTAAGCTATTTAACTTCCTTACTGTCTGCAAAATGGGGATGATAATAACAGTACCTGCATTCAGGGCATGGTTGAGATATTGCCTGTAAACTTTTTAGTACAGTTCCTGACACAGCAAACTCTCAACGATGGACAACCTCTTTTGTTGTGTTATTAAACACACCTGACTCTTGTGTCTTTGCAATAGCCCTTATAGCCACCCTCTCGAGGCTTCAAAGAAAAGGCTGCCCCTTGTCTCATCCATACTCACCTATGAGGCTGCCCTATGGTGCTGTCTTTGCCCTTTCAAGGCTCCTCTGATCATTTCATCAAGATGGTTCAGGGCCAGATAGCCCAGTTGGATCTTCCCCCTGAAATCACAAGGAGGCAAGAGTTCATGGCTCTTCAGGACTAAAATCCAGTGTTGGTGAACAGTAAGAACAGCCCCTGTTCAGTGGGGAGGGGCCTGAGTAGACTGAATGATGGAGGGAATGACCAACCATCACCAGCTATCTGGGAGCTGCCTCCCTGCGGCATCCAGTCAAGAGCACCCAGATCTGTGTCTTCACGAGGGCGTGTTGGGCGTTTGCCTCCGAGGTTTGGTTTCCTGGGGACTTCTCAATGACACTCTGAAAATCCAGCTCATCTGGTTGTCGATCCTATTCCCAGCCACCAGAAGGTTACCTAGGGCACTTGAGAGTTTTCTTCAGACAATAACAATATCCCCATCCTCCTCTGGTGAAATCCTTAGCACCTGAGGTCCTGCTTCACGGTTTCCTCTTCGGGGTGTGGCTCCTGCTTCTCAATCTTGAGCCTTGTAACAAGGGCTCCGCAGTAGGAAGCAGGCAGTTGTCCGTGGGAGCAGCTCCTGGACAGGCCAGAGGAGGCAGGAGCCTACGCTTTGTGGCTGTGGCTTTTGTCTAATGAGGTTTGGGGTGTGGGGCCAGGCACAGGGACCCAGCCAGCACCGGGAACAAAAGCCAAGCACCTGCTCTGTGCTTTTGGGTCTGGTTGGCCAGGGTATCTGACACCAGGGAACATCTTTCCTTTCACACTCTATTGTCCTGGGGCTTCAATTACATTCTTGACTCAGAGCCCAGGAATGGGGATAGTGAGCAGTCCAGAAATCCTTAGAGCAATGACTCACTTCGTTTTCAGCCTCCACACCTCCCTAGCCGTGCTGCACCCTGCTGGTCTTCCAGGTAGAGGGTCTCACCACCCCCTCCACATAGCTGGGTGAGCATCACTCAGCCTCAGAGCTGGCACTAAAATGGGTGCCACAGGGCTGAGTACTGACTGCATCAGCAAAAGCAGGGCACCCAAAAGAATACGAAAAAGGTGATAGATTTTAATATTTTATATCCCCCCCAAAAAAAAAAACATTGAAGAAGTTATCACTGGACAAATCTAAATATCCTTGGTCTTCCACTTAATTTTTTTGTGAATGTCTACATTTTATTCTGAATTACAAATGTGTGAAGGGTGTTTTAAGCAGACTGCATATCTCATCCATGTCATGGCCCACCACCATGACGTGCTGGGCAATTGCAGGTTTCTTAATTGTGCCCTCAGCTGTCCTGAGGACCCCACCCCACCTCCCCCCAACGCGTTCACACACGTCCACACCCAGAGCCACCATCACCACCGCCACTATGCCCACACGGGGCAAACGCCGACCACAGTTGTATCTTGCGTGTTACATTTCATGTGTTTTGGGGAGTCTGCAGATCTGATACAACCTGGGTTCAGTCCCTGCTTCTTCCCAGTTAACAATTGGGGAATTTGAGGCAAGTTACTTTGCCCCTCTGGATTTCAGTTTCCTTCTCTGGAAAAGCCTGTCCTTTACAGTTGTTATAAAAAATAAAAGATAAAACGTGTCCAGGGCCTGGCATATGGCAGGTCATCAGTGAATATTAGGGCTGTTAATACTCTTTCTTCACTCTTCTAAAATGAAGACCCAGCAGGTCCTTTCTCTAAAAAAGAACCGCCACCATCCGCCACACCCCATGGCAGCCTGAGGGACTTTGCAGGGAAACTAGCTTTTGAAGCAGCCTCCCGAGTCTCCTGCCTCCACTGCCTCAAACTTTTAAAGGGGTGGTGCTGTCATCATTTTCTGAAATCAGTGCCTAATTTTTTTCTTTCATTTTAGCCTCACCATCAGCTAGGGATCAGACAAGTGTGTTAGAGAAGCCCTGGACTGAGGATTTCCCCAGGAGGTAGGCCCATCTGGGAAGGGAAGGGCCATACCCGAGCCTCCCTGAGTGTCAGCAAGTCGCGCATTTGCAGGAAAGGGTCCTTTCCCAGGACCCTTGGCTGTGAAGCTCAGGGACAGCAGCAATGGAGATGCAGTGGTGGGAGGGTGGGGAACATTGTTGATTAGCGCTTCCCACACTTAAGTGAGCACTGGGGATCTTGTCAAAATGCAGGGTCTGACTGTGCTCTGGGCAGGCTTGCGGTCCTGCCTTTCTTCCCAGCTCCTGGGAGACTGACACTGCTGGTCTGTGGGCCACACTTGGAGTAGCGGGGCTCTGGCTCTGAGGTGTGAGTTGGTGTTTACCGTTGGCATTACTCAGAGACTGGCTGTCACATGGGTGGTGGGAAGAAACAGAAACCAACTCAGTCAGCTCAGGAGTCACAGCACAGGAGGGGAGTATGCGATGCCTACACCAGCCTAGGCTCTGGTGCGGGGGAGGCCCAGGGGTACCACAAGCCTGTGCAGTGAGAAAGAGGTAATTCCTCACCAGGAAATGGGCATCTTAGGAAGGGGACATGAGCATGAGGCAGCCCAAACACACAAAGGTGCACTGCAGCCCTCCCAGGACCACAGCAGGCCTTAGAAGGCACTAAGGCACCCGCCAGGCCAAGGGGGGGGGGGCTAGTGGAGCACTAGGGTGCAAAATTGAAGGAGGAATTCACTCTCAAGGTTATGCAGGTACTTGCACCTGAATACCCCCTTAACTTCTGGACCCTAGAGGCCTCCTTCACCTCCCCCTACTGCTAGCCCTGCTAAGGCAGACAGTCGTCACACTTTGGTTTCCCTCTTAGATATTTCCTCTGGGACAGACAGCTTAACCCTCTGTGCCTCCATTTTTTTCCCCTCAAGAAAATGAGATAAAGTGAAAGTGAGAAAGTCCCAAGAAGTATCTTCGGAATTTGTTTATCTCAGAATGTCTGGCATGTAGTAGGTGCTTAAATTTGAGTATGTTTCATTCAGTGAATAATCGAATCCTATTACTAAATGGGGAGGACCCCTTATGATTTAATAGCAGCTGCCTCCTATCCAGAGAGCAGGAGCTGTTGTCATCAGCTGCACTTAGTGTATTCCTAGAATATAATAGAGGTCAATAAAAGTTTGTTGAATTCAATAGAGGTGAAACTCATTGTCCTGAGGGTTAAGTCAGTAGTTGTTTACAAGGTGGCAATTAGGGACCTTCTTCAAAATATTTTCTCTTACTCTTCTTGAAATCCCTGTCTTAATAATTTATTCCTTTGACTTTCATTTCCTTACCCAGTGCCTTACTTTAAAATCCCAAGGGCTGGCCAAGTGGCTCAGTTGGTTAAGAGCTCTCGATCTCTGAGCAACAGCGGTTCGATGCCTGGCCCCAAGCTGAGCTACCACTGAGCTGCCAACAGGTAGCAGGATGGCTCAGCTTAAAAAAAAAAAAATTTTTTTTTTAAAATCCCAGAGCCATAGGGAAAGGATTACAGTAACCAGAAACAAAACTTGACCTTTATTGAGTTTTTGCCTTGGGAATTTTCTAAACCAGGTAAATATCACCTATGGGCCAAATTAACCTACCACCTGTTATTGTACAGCCTGGGAGCTAAGAATGGTTTTTACATTTTTTAATGGTTGGAAAAAACTCAAAAGGTTCATGATATGTGAACATTATTTGAAATTCAAATTTCAGTGTTTATAAATGAAGTTTTATTGGAACATATCCACATTCATTCACTTACGCACTGTCCATGGCTGCTTTTGTACTACAGTGATGGAGTCGAGTAGCTGGGACAGAGATTTATCATCCACAAAGTCTAAAATATTTACTATCTGGCCCTTTACAAAAAAAGTGTGTTGATTTCCTAAAGGGAGGCTGTTTGTCCGCTTTATACTTATCCCATCAGCTTCTTCCAGTGTTTTTTACAAAACCACTAGGTATAATCCAATTTCAGTGAGGAAGTGACACTCCCTATGGGAGAGTTATGTGTGAGTAGAAATCTTGTGAATAAAACCATANGGAAACTCCACAGACATGATGAAAGAGTCAGAGGCCCCACCTACCTGAGAGGTTCAGGGACAGAAGGTTAAAATGAGGTCCATGTGACAATTTGAGCTAAGGAGGAGGTAAGGCACCTTGAGGCTTCAGAGACATCGTTTGCAGGATGGTAGGAAAAGCAGATAGATGTTTAGTAGTTAGATATCTGCCCTGCCCTATAGACAGATAAAAAGTTATCTCTAGTAATAACTTTTTATGGGAAAGACCCAAATGTAAATTATTTAAGGGAGAGGTAAAAGTTTCTCATGAGCCTGCAGCGTCTCGATTGCCTTCAGATCAAAATATCTCACATGCCAAAGAGGCACCTGTTGGGTGGTTCTGGATTCCTTCAATACCATTATCTGAAGTGACTGTCCCCAAACAGTCAAGTATTGTTGCTAAAAGCCCAGTGGTCAGCATATTAGAAATGTGAACCAGCACCCATGCAGTAGGGTTTTTCATCTTTGTTTTTAAGGTAGGTGATGGCTTCATAGGGATGGCTAGCATATCTGCATCTCCAAACCCAGCCAAGACGTGATTAATGGTTGGCTTACTCAGCTTGGAGATTGTCATTCCATGGTTTGTCTTCCTGCTATCCGTCTTCCTGTTCTCAGAAAGTATTCCTTTCTGGAACACTCCAGGATTGTCTGCTTTAGCACCTTCCCAGGAAATTAAAAAGGAACAAGGCAGAATAGTTTGCCTAGGAATAGGAATGCACTAAATGTAAAGAAAATGTGCCTCAATGAAGTGTTTCTAGTCTCACATCTTGGCAAAACTGCTCACATCTTTCAGTCGCTGATCCTCTACTTGAAAGCTATCTGAAATGTCTCCTGTTTCTGGCTTGTGGTCTCTCTTCCCGCTCTGGCTGTGATTTTTTATTACCCTAACCTCTTCTGCTCACTTCTTCTTATACACAAAAAGAGCTTTCATATTGTCTTCTGGTAACTAGAGAATATTAAGATTATACATTATTTGGACTATGGGACTAAACTAAATTCCATTTTTACTTAAGAAGCACACATTATTTTAGGGACTATAGGTTGGGAGTTGTAGAACAATATAGAAAAAGCATAAAATAGATTTCCTGCCCTCAAGGAGTCTATAATCTAGAAGAAGCAATGCACACACATTATAAAATAATAGGATATGATTGCATGGCAAATTGAAAGTAAATGATACAGGAATGCTTTGAAAACAGACATCCATGCCCCTTCCTGGAAGATTTTTAACCACCTAAAATGAATGGGGAAGGCTCTATTGGTCATGCTGTATAATTTTCTTAGTACTCCAGCCACAGACATTTCACAACTCACTTTTACCTCTCAAACCTTAGCAACAAGACCTCTGCTAGTTGATAAATGCTTTGGTTTCGCAATTTACTTTGGCTACCAGTTTTTGTTTTTTCTTTATTATAGGTTTCTTCTGATGGACCTCGTTTTAAAATTCTCCCCTCTTACCAACCTCCACTCCTTGTTTTATGCCATTTAAATTGTTTTTTGTTTTGTTTTTTTAATTTGGCCTAACTAGATCTTTGCTTTTACCCTGGAGCATCTCTCAATCTTTAGAGCAAAGAGTAGGGTCTGAGTAAATAATTACATAGACCCTTAGAGACCATAAAATCTGCTTTCTCCTCCACTAGGAAGGTCTGAGGGAGCCTTTGATTTCTGGGAAAGCAAGTAGATAAGAGTTG